AGATGGAATTTTTTATTAATTTCATTTTAAATACAGTCAGTTTGTTTTTAAATAATGCTCCACAAACAACTACACTATACAGAGATCTATTTTAAGTAATAGAATAGTGATCAGCTCTTTCGTTCTTGATCGAGAACATTAAATGGTTAGCATCAGAGATGTCAGACGTGATCATACCCACTAGTATATCTCAGTGACAATGAATCGTTCTTTCACCTAACCACAATCCAACAACCAATATTCCCAGTTTTAATCAAAATGTTACGTAGAGCAACTCGCGTGAAATAGTAACTATGAGTAACCATGTCGCTTACCACTTGGATGATGAGAAAAACAGAGAAAACTCACTAGAGAAAACAAGCATATTCATTTACGAAGTCAAACGTAACAACTATTAACACTAACTAGCCCAGAAAAGACCGACAAAAATGCATCCTAGATTAGGTTAAAATTATACTTGGATTGGTCTCAATAAATACAAGAGAACATAGACATAACAAGGTTTTTATAGTTGAACGAATCTGACAGTTTGTACATCATACAAAACGAAATACTGAAAACATATTAATCAAATAAAATGAACAAGAAAACTCTTGTCGTTTTCTGTGGGGTGTTGTGGCGATGGTCAAATTTCTTAGTTTTAATCAAGGACTGATCTTAGCTAGAAAACCATTAAAAATCAAGAAGTAATGGAAAATTTTTTGTCTAATATGAAACTCTTAAGGGGTGTGCATCAACGACTCCGTTAGGGATCGAAATTGAGACCTTCAGGTCTCGCGTCTAACCTGAAGACCTTTAAGCCAGGATCCAATGGTTTATATGTCTAACTTTAATCAGTTTGCAATATTGCGGAACCATCATCTAGTGTCCACAAAATACTTCGGATCCGTTGACCGGACACTATTAGTAACAACCTACTTTGGGAGAGAATAAACCAGATCTCAGTGGAGGAAGAAATCAGGAAAAAGCGCTGGAAGTGGATAGGACACACATTGAGGAAAGCGCCCAACAGCGTCACATGATAAGCCCTCACATGGAATCCTCAAGGCCAAAGGAGGAGAAGAGGAAGACCAGAGAACACGTTACGCCGGGAAATGGAGAGAGACATGAGAAAAATGAACAAGAATTGAATGGAACTAGAAAAAAAGACTCAGGACAGAGTGGGTTGGAGAATGCTCGTTGGTGGCGTAAGTAAATAATCATCTAGTCTCACTGGTGATATTTGTCAATATCTGCTAATTGATACAGAAGAAAGGAAAATAAGCACTTTTTAACTAATTTTCGAGTGGATAAATTTATTGTTGAAATATTAGTAAAATTAGCTACATAGTTAATTCTGTCCGTAGGTCAGCAGCAACAGCTCAAACATCCTTATAGAAGTAGGTCTATTTAAGATCCTGATAATCTAATCTATTACCGCATGTTGCTTATCCGTAAGGACCGTTTCAGCAAATTATTGAATAAATCTGTTCAGCGTTGATAGCTCATTGAGCATGATCCAACTAATTATTTGACAACTGTTTCATCATAACATCGGGTTATTCGGCATTTGCCATTCATACGTCTCTAGGGTTCTAAACCAAAATCTTGAAGCCTCTTAATGAGAGTTTGTCTTCATATCACTGAGTTGGCATTCAATTGTTTACATTTCTAACTCCATTCAATTTGTACAAATGTGTGACCATCACCCAACTGCATCAGTGATATTTGTTTCACGCTTGACATAATTAAGCTCTATTAGTTACATATTCTAACTATAAACATGAGAATTAACTCTTAAATTTGATCACAAGTAAGCTCATAATTGTGCCTAATTTTATTAAACATCGAATGTCTTTTTCATTCTAGTTTCAGCACTGTATATCAACAAATCTACGGGGTATAGAATCGACCACATTTAAACACTACCGTATGCAAAGCATAGTGAGTATACATTACTGAGGCAGAGAACAAATGTTTGTGTTTACTGATTGTAATAGCTCCCCAGTCTGTAATTGGGACCTTCATCCACTTCCGAATTCTAAATCAGGGTTTCGTTAGCTCCACACAATCAATACAATGGCACATTTAAAGAAGTATGTTAAATAAGTAAATTACGTTTCTTGGTGTTACTATTGTAAAGTTCTATAATAGTTATTCTGCATTCATAAACATTGTCAACAATCTTATGTTTATATATTTTAGTATTGCAAATAGTCAATACATTTATTTTGCTTAAGTGTTTAAGGGGGTGTTTTAATTACAGGTGGATATGTATATACTGAGTCACGGTGTCGCTGAATCACAAAATAATATTCGAACATGAATCACTTTCGATGCAATATATCAAGATGTAACATATGACTAATACAATATTTCTTCATTTTCAAACAATGACGTTTTCAGTTACTTATTTACAAAATCTAGCGGTAAATGTTAGTCTTTATCTAGAAAGAAAACCTTTGTCTGAAAAATTTACCAAATGTCAGTACACCACCTCTACTATTGCTTGTTAATTTTCCCCCACCTGTAACAACGAGAAACGTTATGCACTATCAGGTATATACTACTTGTCAATAGTATGGAATGGAGCGCAGAAAATGATGACAGTAGTGGGTGTGAATCATAGTAACTACGTAGATTTTGCACTAATACACTTTAAGTCATTCGGACAAAAACATATTAACAATCTACGGCTGTTATCAAATTAGAGAAACCAAATAAGAAGTGAAAACCTATAATATCGTAAACAATGTTAGTGCAAACGAAACCTGGTCAAAACCCTTAGTTACCGAATACGCACTAAATGTTCTGCGGATATAGTTAAAGATGAGCTAATGCTCTTAGGTAGAACGGCTACTCTAGAAAGTTTATAATTGAATATATGATCACAAATGTGAAAATAGGTGGAATACAAACGGTGATAAAGGAATCCCTATTCATGCACTTACAATTCAGAGGGGATGCGGCTAGTGAAATATTAACTCTGAGATTACGCAGGACGATACAAAAATCTTTCGACACGGAGAACTCAGATTATTGTTTTCTACGCGCCCAACGGTGACACCGAGGTTAAAAAATGAGTTACCTAGAATGACCACTTCATTTTGTATTTATCAGTTCGACTGCTCCCGTGTAGCAAGTTATATTGGTCGAAGTTCTAGAGATTTACATTTTCGTGATCGTGAACATTTCCCAGTGTGTTTGAACAAAGGTTTGGTGAAAAAAGTGAACAGCTATATATTGGCCCATTAAATAAAAACTGGTTATAGTGCCAGTATAAACCAATCCTTTTCAATGTCAGTTTTAACAAAGCGAATTAAACAATTAACTGCATGGAAATAACATTTGTTAACTTGAATTTATAGTAGTTTTTACCTATTGTATACAAACTGGTAGGAAGAGAATGGTTTTTAAAAATGAAAATAGCATCAATCAATTAAAATTCAATTATGTACAGAACGTATATATGAATTCCTTTTGTCTTGCCAAATTATTGAGTTCATTAAAACATTTCCTAATGATTCAATTGTGATCAAATAAATGATCTATTATTCAGCTGGCCATAAACGTAATTGGCGCAGTTTGCTTTGTGTGCAATTTAATATTCTTCATAATAGTTTTATGTATAAATAAATGTCCATATATATTATAATTTAACGTATTTTTATAAAATTTAAAAATAATTCCCATCACCAGTTGAAAGTCTCTTTGGTCGACTATTTCATTCTTATATGAAGCTCCTCAGAAGCGCAAACGTATATGAGATGAAGACTGTGACCCCGAAGTTTTATTGATAGTATAACACCTTTGAATAACTGAATCAGATGCAAAGGTATTCGGTTTCATTATTAGTTAGTTTGTGAATAACGACCAACCAATATTGATTATCTCATCGAAAAATATGGCTGAACTCACAGTTCTTAAAATAATCCATTCATTTTATCTCAATTCAGATGGCCTCACTATTCGTTAAATAAAACACTGGAATTTCATTCACGAAAAGGTTTGTAAGAACATATCTTATTTCTACTGACTTGTTTTCATTAGCTTATATTTCTATTTCCGCGTTGTAATATATATCAGAATGCAAACATTTCCATACCATTTATAGGAGTGACCATTACTGATTGGAAGATTTTATTCTTCTTTCTAGTCTATTATCATTTTGTGCAACAAACTAACTCTGATCGAGATGATCAAGCATCTATAACAACGATATTCTACGGATTTTAAAATTTAATTTTTCTTTCACTAACAACAAATATTAGAATCTCATAGTGAAATCAAATAATAATTCTCATGAGACCTGTTTTATTTAAATACACAAATACTAATTTTCGTCTCTTCTATGGTGAATTTGTGGCCTCTTCAAGTTCCCGGCGGCTGAGAATCAATAGCCACACAGCATGTGTTTGCGTTTTATTTAGAAAACAATTCAACTTGGTTACTCAACTTTGTGTGGAATTTACCATTTTAAATTATGCTACTTACCAATAGTAAGTATTATGAATGTATTGACTCTCGGTTTATTTGGTTTCCATGCCTGTGACTATTTAGTAGCAATCAATTCATGGGATAATATCCATTTACTCACTCACAATTGGTCTGACCTTTTCAGGCTCAAGTAAGCTCCTAAGGGTAGATGTTAGATATTATGGTTGAATGGTACAAATTCAGTTGTACAGCGTAAATTTATTCGACTACCTCATATGTTTGTACCCTGCTTTCTTATTATTTTAATCGGGCATTAATTTCATACATCGATACATCCTGATTAATTGTATGACACTTTTAAAACATTTACCTCGAAGACAATGTAACTAATTACCTACATATTGATGGTGGGAATAATCAAATATTCCGTCCCACGCAAAGATAGCAGCTAGTGTTTGGTTTTTCATTACTAATGATTGCTCATATTTCAAATTCAATAGAAAATCGATGTTCTAATAAACCGTATATACAATCTTATAAAACAGAATAAAATTGGAAACTATGAATAACAGAAGAACAGTAGATAAGAGGAGAATAATTAATAATTTTATTTAAATAAAAAGGTGAACGGTAAAAAATGAGTTCCATATTTAGAACAGAATATCCAGTTAGAATTACGTCCTAGTCGACAGAAACTTCCACTTGTCTTAAGTTTAAAAAAACCATAAAACGAAAGATTTATAAGGTTTTAATTATTCCGACGTTGTGCAGAAATACATATAGACATTCAGAATTTCATGCACTGAGGGGATTATAGTGTATTACAGATTATTATTTTATTTACTTCAAACAAAAATTAACATTTTCCATGTGAAGAACTTGGGTGGATAATTGTTTGAGCATTTAGTGGATTAGAAAGTTGATATTCACTTAGTAGAATAAGATAAGAATCATCAAACACAGCACCATGACTATCCATGCCGCCGTGAATAAATAAATACTCTTGACAGTATTGATCTTTATCATTGTTATCTTTATACTCATCAGTATTAACAATATCATCGTGATATTGATTATCTGAAGAAAATAACAGTAATAAAATACAATAATTTAAGAAATCGAATTCCTGTTACCAGGAAAAATATTTCAAAAAACAAAGGTTGTCAAATATGAAGATGATTTATATGGTAAGTTGAAAATCGCCCAGTATTAGACATAGTTTAATGGATAGGTGACAAACGAGATCAGTCTATTGTATTCCCTTTCTACTTCAAATATGAACATTTGAAGTAGAAGCACGATTGTTGAATCGAGATCAAAACGTAGGAAATGTTGGGTCGGTGGGGACAGTTTTGTGGTTGAAAGTTAATTTAGCTGTTTAACTAGCCAATAATCATCAGTAGAACTGTTCATGTGTATTTACGTTCAAAAACATAACAGTACAAATCACAACATATTTACGTCCATTTACCATACTATGCACCAAGTAACTTGTATATAAAAGTTAATGGGGTTACACATTCCGTTCTATCTATATTCCCAAATATTTTCAGGGCTTTAGATATGATTTTACAAGAACACTGTTCATCATATTTTTGTATTTTTCCATAAGTAGACTGTTCACTCAAAGGGCAACAATCGTAGTGTTTCTTGATATCAGGGCTGACTTCGATTCTTTGGACAGAACTGTTCTCTGGGATTGTCTATTGAAGAAGGGTGTGCCTGAGAAGTTTATTAACATCATAAAAGCCCTATACACAAACACCTCAGGCAGAGTGAGGGCATACAATCACCTTTCTCCACTATTCCATTCGAGCAGTGGGATTAGGCAGGGTTGCCCAATCTCACCATTCCTCTTCAACTTTGCCATCGATGACATTCTGGAAACAGCTCTGACGGATGTAAGTAATGGTGGTGTGGATCTGTTGCCTGAAGAAAGACTTCTCGACCTTGAGTATGCGGATGATATTGTCTTACTGTGCGAGAATGCCCAAGCCATACAACCGGCACTTAATCAGTTGGCAATCAGTGTCCGTAGGCATGGTATGTGCTTTGCACCTTCGAAGTGCAAAGTACTTCTACAAGACTGGCAGGATTCTAATCCTATACTCACTCTGGACGGTGAGCAGATAGTAGTCGAGAAGTTCGTGTATCTAGATAGCTGCATAAGTGCTGGTGGTGATGTGAACGATGAGATCAATGCACGTATAGAGAAAGCCAGAGCGGGTTATGCTAATCTGAGCGATCATTGGCGCCTTCGTGATGTTAGTCTGACTGTAAATGGTCGGATCTACAGCGCGTTGATGAGAGCAGTTCTGCTCTATGCTTGTGAAACCTGGCCTCTCCGAGTCGAGGATGTTAGACGACTCTCTGTGTTCGATCATCGCTGTCTCCGAAGGATTGCTGACATCCAGTGGCAACACCATGTTAGTAATGCAGAGGTTCGGCATCGTGTGTTCGGGCACAGAGACGATAATTCCATTGGTGTCACCATCTTGAAACACCGACTTCGGTGGCTTGGACATGTTCTACGAATGTCGTCCCAGAGAATTTCACGTCGTGCATTATTTGCCTACGCTGGAACTGGTTGGAAAAAGCGGAGAGGTGGTCAGTGTATGACATGGTGTCGTTGTATGAAAGAAAGCTGCAAAGGGCTGGCTTGTGTTGGTCCTCCACGACTCCCTGGTTGGGGTCCGAGAGATGGTGTAACACAGTGGCTGGAAACGTTATCAGATATGGCTCAGAATAGAAGCCAGTGGCGATCCTGCTGTAACCTTCTTTTACTTTCTTCATAAAAAGTGGTTGTATCTACCTTAACTGTAAGATTTCTTCTGAGTGTACCTTTTCGTCTCCCCCATTATTGTTCTTTTTTTATAATTCCCTACGTTCCTTACCTTTTTTTCCCTTCTCCTTAAATTCTCGTTGTTTTGTGTTGCGCATATATATTTGGTGCCCCCCTGTACCAATATTTATGTGTTCAAATAAATAAATAAATAAGTAATCTGTTCGTAATGATTTTTTGTAACAAGCATATTCTGGTTTAAATTTAGAATGAAAAATTATATCCGACGCAGTTTTGAATTTCACGGGGATTTTCAGTTCATTTAATATTTTAGACGTGCTTGCTTATGATTACCAACTAGCAAAAGTCCTTCGTTTAGTGCTTTCTGCTAAATTTTTACCGAAACAGTGTACACAACGATGTTGAGTCATTTGACCAACAGAATTCGATCAACACAAAGGACTGAACAATAAGAAACTGAGTACTTTCAGATGATCTATTTAGGTAAAACACTTAAAAAATTCAGGAACCTATTCATCACAGTGATTCAATTTCTACTTCTAGATAACAATGAAATCGAGAAACAATCATTACAGTGTAACATAAACAACCATTAATTAATTTAATTACTCAATACTAACAACCTCGAAATCTAAATACTTTAGCCTGCTAAAGTCAAGTTAAACATAATGGTTTATACATTCAACTTACAACCACTAGACATGAGCTTCATACTCATGTTTGAGTAGACGGACGGTATCACTTGCTCTAACCCACATTCGTTATGGCTAGCGGTCAAGCACATAAATATGTATTTGTCAAGTAGCTCAACGACAAAACGTAATCACCACAAGTTTTATTTTAGTGAAATTGTATAAGTAGATATTAGTAATTGCTTAGAACTCATGTAATGGTATTAACTTGATCATACCTGTAGACTGAAATTCATTCTACTAATGTCAGGAAATATACACAGATCTCAGTGATATATATATATATATATATATATCATAGAAAGTATTAATACCTTTTGGTGATTTAAATATAATTTCCATTGATGAATTTTCTTTTGTATCCTTCTTAACGATTAATGAAAATGTGCAATAAGCAAAGTCTAGACGTGGACTCGGTAATACAGAAGTCCCATATTTAATTTCAGTCCATTGTCTAGTACCTAATTGAAAAAAAAGGTTGGATGTTAACTAAAAAAAATTATTTCAATGTAAATGAAGACAACTAGTCTGATTTGGTAAAATGCGGAAATAAATAATTTATTCAAAGCGATAACTTGCCAATGAAAATAAGCGCTCGAAACCAGAACATTGTACATTTAGAAATACATCAATCGGTGCAGTAAGACACTCATAGTCAAAGTAAAATCTGATACAAATATGTATCGGTATGAGTTCATATATTCCACATTAGCACAATGGGATATTTGACTAAAGACAGTTGTAATCAAAAACTGTCATCTACAAAGTTTACTCTCTCCCTGACAGACGTTTCACCCGTGTCGTATGTGGAGCAACTTCGCCAGCTTTTAAAATCCGTGCTGAAAGTTTTCTTGCCAGTAACCCATGATAGATGCTAAGACTCACGAAATGTGAGTAATTCATTCCTTTTGGACGTATTATTTAGAACAAAAGAAACCCATACAAAAAATTCATTCAATTTTTATTTGAATTTTCAATAAGCTTATCCTATACACGGTTTATACGACTGAGTTCTAAGTATTATTATGGTCATTAAACTTTTCGACTATTAAAATCAGCTCTACATATATTGAAAACATTTTCACTAACTTGTATCAAAACAAAACATATCATTCAACGCTCCATTTAATGACAATCCACCAAATATTAATATTTTACTGGTATCCTGTCCATAAATTTTATTTGTTAAAATTGTTCCACCATGAGCAGCACGTGGACTTGGAGATGGAGTTTGTGTAAGTTCAATACCTTTTGGGTCCAAATATTCACATTCATTTTCCGCATTATCATGACTAATAGTGAGTGATGATAATTTATCAGTCGGATATAGTTTATTCCATATACCTTTAAAGTGTAAATTATTATCAGCCTGAAAATAATGAAAATAAACGCTTATTTATGATTGGGTATCAATGAAATAATTTCAGGTAGCAATATTAAAACAAGTGACTACATTTTTGATGAACTTTTATGGGAGAAAATTTTGTGATTTGAAGAACGAATTATAAATTGTTAAAATGAATGCGTAAAGTTTCGAACGATAGACGCGTTTCTGTGACACGGTGTGGGCAAATGCTAGATGCTCATTTTTGAAGGCAAAGTAATCTCCATACGTGTTTTCGTACAAAAATTAGGAGTCTAAGCTTTATTTGTTACATCACAGAGCTGATAAAGGATGAAGCCTAAGGAAATAAACAATTGAACTGAACTACACATTAGGTTAGTCTTCAGAAATATTAACACCATTAGCGTCCAGTCTAATAGTAACCTGAAATTTCAAATTGGAATAGAAAAAAAAGTGAACTTGACAGTATGTTACTACTAATATGCAATATTTACTCGCTAAAATCTTGAGTTTCTATGGTCATTGTTTAAGCTTATTTCCGAAATATCTATCGCCACTAACCCAAAGAAAAAAAAGCACGAGTGGCGAAGAAAATTTATTTGAAAGATTCTAGATTAGGAAGAACAAATTAAGGACAAGAAGTTCATATTTATTTACATCTATGAATCATCATATCATCTTGATCAAACATCATTTTGATACATAAAACCCAACATAATATAATCATAACCATTAACCTATTATTATCTAATAAATGAAGACGACTAAAAACGTATAGGTGAGAGTATTTTGACTAGTAGTTAAATACAATATTTCTGAAACTATTAAAATTTAATAGTCTATGCCTTGTTAAACAATTAACATATACAGAAAGTATTTTCTTGTTTAATATTCTAATAAATTTCTCTCACTTGATTAGTAAAATTTAATGCATAAATATCATCAAGTAGTTTTTCATTGACCATTCCACCATGTATATACATTTTACCTTTTGGGATACGTTCATAATTTGAATTTGTTAATTCATAAGGAAACTCATATAGTATTAAATGACCTAATCGTGAACAAGGTGGTAAACCTTCCACTGGTATAATATTCCATGAATTTATTTCACTATCATACATATAAACCTAAAGAGAAATAATAAGTAATTTAAAATAAATTAATATACACTTATTTGTAGAGAAAACTGTGATTTCAAAAATTTAACTAAATATCATATGTACATTCATCTTACTGTTATGAAACACGTAAAATTGGTTACATAATGCGAGTGATTTTTAAACGCATCTCTGAACATTATCCTTTCTGGTTTTCGAAGGCGATTGTAAAACTATCAATAGTTTAATGCTGGAATATCATGTGAACTCTGGTCGCACGAACTCCGCCTGTAGCTCTCCTAGAGTTACTGCCGATCCCAAGCCCGGATAAAGGAGGAGGGTTGGGCATTGGGTTAGCGTCCCCATCCCGTAGAAAACTAACTCGCTAAAAAAACGCTAACCAGAAAAAATAATTCAAACCATTTAAACTCTGCCCTGGAAGTTAGAAGGTCTTCATTTAGAAGAAATATGACGCCTCAGGGTGAAAGCCGAGTTCCTTCGGAAGCCATGAGGCCGATGCCCCTTCTAACAACCAGAGCAAACATTTTTATAGGTACATGGAACGTCCGGACAATGGGGGAGACCGGGAAGGCCATTCAAATAGCAACGGAAATAAGGAGATACAACTTGACAGTACTGGGAATCAGTGAAACCCATTGGACCCAAGCTGGACAACAAAGGCTAAATACGAAGGAGATGCTGCTATACTCCGGTCACGAAGAGGAAAATGCTCCACACACTCAGGGATTTTTTCTAATGCTGTCCAAAGAAGCACGAAATGCACATGTAGGATGGGAAACTCACGGATCTAGAATCATCAAAGCATCATTCAAAACAAAGAAGGAGGGGATCACAATGAACATTATCCAGTGTTATGCACCCACCAATGATAGCAACGACGAAGTTCAAGATCAATTCTATGAGGCTGCAATCAATCATAGAGAAGTGCTCAAGAAAAGACCTCACCATTCTGATGGGAGATCTAAACGCCAAAGTCGGAATAGACAGCACCGCATATGAAGATATCATGGGACTGCATGGACTGGGAGGAAGAAATCAGGAAGAAGCGCTGGAAGTGGATAGGATACACATTGAGGAAAACACCCAACTGCGTCACAAGACAAGCCCTCATATGGAATCCTCAAGGTCGAAGGAGGAGAGGAAGACCAAAGAATACATTACGCCGGGAAATGGAGATAGATATGAGAAAAATGAACAAGAATTGGATGGAACTAGAAAAGAACGCCCAGGACAGAGTGGGTTGGAGAATGCTGGTCGGCGGCCTATGCTCCATTGGGAGTAACAGGCGTAAGTAAGTAAGTAAGTAAGCATGGACTGGGAGGGAGGAACGAAAACGGGGAAAGATTTGTAAATCTGTGTGCATTCAATAAATTGGTCATAGGCGGCACAATATTTCCACACAAACGTATACACAAAGCTACATGGATCTCACCGGACCACACCACAGAGAACCAGATAGACCGTATTTGCATCAATAAAAAGTTCCGAAGGACAATGGAAGATGTGAGAACCAGGAGAGGAGCGGACATAGCTTCAGATCATCACCTGGTTGTGGCCAATTTAAAACTGAAGCTAAAGAAGAACTGGACAACTGGACAAACAGCACCACAAAGGTTCAATACAGCCTTCCTTCGAGATACTGACAAACTCAATGAATTCAAGGTAGCTCTCAACAACAGGTTCCAAGCCCTACAGAATCTACTGAAGGAAGAAGAAACTACTATGGAGGATAACTGGAAAGGTATCAAAGAAACATTAACTTCAACGTGTGAAGAGGTTCTGTGCCCCAAGAAGCATCATCACAAGGAATGGATTTCTATAGAAACACTGGACCGGATCAAAGAAAGGAAGAACAAGAAGATAGCAATTAACAATAGTCGAACACGAGCAGAGAAAGTCCAAGCACAAGCTGAATACATAGAAGCAAACAAACAAGTGAAGAAGAGCATTAGAGCCGACAAGCACAAATACGTGGAAGAACTAGCAACGACGGTGGAGAAAGCTGAAAGAGAAGGAAATATGAAACAGCTTTATGATACAACGAAGAAACTAGCAGGGAAATATAGTAAACCAGAGAGACCAGTCAAAGACAAAGAAGGAAGACCAATCACTGAGATTCAACAACAGCGGAACAGATGGGCAGAGTACTTCGAGGAACTCCTGAAGAGGCCGGCACCAATGAATACACCGGACATCGGAGCAGCACACACAGATCTTCCTATAGATGTCAATCCACCAACGACAGAAGAAATCAGAATGGCCATCAAACAAATCAAGACCGGGAAAACAGCAGGACCCGACAATATACCAGCTGAAGCTCTGAAGTCAGACATCGAAGTAACGACAAAAATGCTTCATCTTCTATTCAAGAAGATTTGGGAGGAGGAACAAGTGCCGATGGACTGGAAGGAAGGACACCTCATCAAGATTCCGACGAAAGGAGACCTGAGCAAGTGTGAAAATTACAGAGGCATTACACTACTGTCAGTACCAGGAAAAGTCTTCAACAGAGTGTTACTGAACAGGATGAAAGACACAGTAGACGCTCAACTTCGAGATCAACAAGCTGGATTCCGTAAGGACCAGTCGTGCACAGACCAAATTGCGACACTATGGATCATCGTCAAACAATCAATTGAGTGGTATTCGTCACTGTATATCAACTTCATTGATAATGAAAAGGCATTTGACAGTGTAGATAGGAGGACGTTATGGAAAATTCTTCGACACTATGGAGTTCCTGAGAAGATTGTCAACATTATCTGGAACTCATACGACGGACTACAGTGCAAAGTAGTGCATGGAGGACAGCTGACAGAGGCATTCCAAGTGAGGACTGGAGTACGACAAGGCTGTCTACTCTCTCCCTTCCTCTTTCCTCTGGTGGCCGACTGGATTATGAAGACCTCGACATCTGAGGGAAAACACGGCATACAATGGACAGCTCAGAACCAATTAGACGATTTAGACTTCGCAGATGACCTAGCCCTCCTATCGCATACACACGAACAAATGCAGACAAAGACAGCCAACATAGCAGCAGACTCTGCATCAGTAGGCCTCAACATACACAAAGGGAAAACCAAGGTCCTCAAACACAACACGGAGAACAGCAGTTCAATCACTCTTGATGGCGAAACTCTGGAAGATGTGAAATCCTTCACATACCTGGGAAGCATCGTCGATAAACAAGGAGGTTCAGATGCAGACGTAAAGGCTAGGATTGGCAAAGCAAGGACAGCATTCCTTCAATTAAAGAACATATGGAACTCAAAACAACTTTCAACCAACATCAAAGTCAGAATCTTCAAAACCAACGTCAAGGCAGTTCTACTGTACGGAGCTGAAACTTGGAGAACTACAACAACCATCATCAAGAAGGTACAAGTATTTATCAATAGCTGTCTACGCAAGATACTCAACATCCATTGGCCGGATACCATCAGCAACAGCCTTTTGTGCGAGAGAACCAATAGTTTCCAGCGGAAGAGGAAATTAGGAAAAGACGATGGAAATGAATAGGACATACATTGAGGAAATCATCAAAATGCATTACGAGACAAGCGCTAACTTGGAACCCTGAAGGGAAGAGGAAAAGAGGAAGGTCAAACGCACATATTACGTCGGGAAATAGAAGCAGATATGAAAGGGATGAATAAGAACTGGAAAGAGCTGGAAAGGATTGCCCAGGACAGGGTTGGATGGAGAATGCTGGTAAGCCTGGTCGCACGACGCCACTGGATATATCCTTCAAAACCATTTATATGGTCAAACAATTTAGTTTGAGGGGAGTACTAATCAATAATTTGTGCAATGCAGAGGCGTTAGTAATCTACCATTTTAAACTTGAACTCTGTATGTAAAAACAGATACATAGAAGCAATTATTTTTTCATGGCTCTAACACTGACTTTTCACATATGGCAATTTGATTTTATTATATCCTTCTATTGTTTCTAAACTTTTAAATCTTAATAATTTATCATTACCACCTTCACATTTTTTATTTTATCCTTTACCTTTCGCATACTCATCAAGTGGATGATTATCTTCCACATATTTGATTTCACCTAACCGTCCTTCGTCAAATTCTCTATCGTTAAGCGCTCCCGAATGCCCTGGTATGGCCGAGAGTGGGGTGGGCCCGCCCTCCCTCTCGAAATGCTCTCACATGGCTACGCGTATGCAACCTCTGCCAGGGAAGTCCTATTCACTGCCTTCTCGTGGTGGGGGTGTTGTTTACAAAAATGAGAGGACGAAAAGCGAGTGTCCGGCGCTTTAACCGGATCCCAAACCAATGGTGCACATGGGCTCCAGTATCCTGCGGGAACAAATGGCGTATGAACCAATCGTTGGTCACCAGCTACCATGGGGCTGCATCTTCTCACGAAGCTCCACTGTCTTGTGGATCAGACTTTTGGGTAAGAGACTCGGGGTGTGGCCCCATAGGAAAACAACCTGCTTCGGTCTGGGCACTCGGGCAGTACCACAGCCCACACAAAAATATGATGAAATGTCGATATTTACGGAAAACACTTTTGTTGCTTCGATTAACAGCCAAACGACTCACATTATTATTATTTACTACGTCATTTATTCACTCTTTTATTCCCGATCTGTGTATCCTTATTTTTCGACTTATACAACAGCTCGCCTATGGTGGAAACTCGGTTCTATCTAAACGTTCTCGAGTCACTGCTTGGTTGAAAATTGTATGATACCACCGAATACGAATATATATTTGGTGCCCTCTTGTACCAACATTTATGTGTTCAAATAATAATAATAATAATAATAATAATAATAATAATAATAATAATAATAATAATAATAATAATAAACGTGATATGACGTAATCGTTCTCCTATTTTTTCAGCAGACAATTTTAATTGTAAATTAGCTATAAACATGATTGCACAGCTTGAATAAATGATATTGGCAAAAAAATTTCCTTCATTGAACTGGCTTTTCAGTATAGTTATTTCGTAATCTTAACTGTGGACTGATGTAAGTCGTACTTTCTATATATATCCTAATATAGAATACATAAAATTATTTAGGTTCTTTGATATTCTGGAATAATTATCAGAGGTGGGTTTTGTGGAGATTTTAGTAATTTCAGTTGTTGAGATCATGAGTCAATTGAAGCTAGACCACCATGGAAAACCTGGAAGCACTGGACGACGTTTCGTCCTATTGACTCATGATCTCAACAATTGAAATTACTAAAATTTCCACAAAACCCCTTCTGATAGTAATCAACATATGCTCACTAGTGACTGACTTCAAGATGTTGTAGCAAGCCCATTCCATTAATGTATTATTTGTCTACACAACTGTGTTAATTTCCATATGAGTATGATTGAGCGTGTGTCTGCACTTCTATCCCTATTCTATTCCCCATTGGTTGTGACACATAGATAATCAATAATTTATCTACACTTGATTGATACTCAAAGATATATATGGATCTTTTAACACAGACACACACACACTTTGATTTTTGACTCACTCGGTGCTTGCTTGCTGTATGCTTGCGGACTTTACCAAGTTTTCACAATAAACTATCTCTATAACTGATTTTTGGGCTTTTTAATGATCTCGAGTAAATCGATAATTCTACTAGGAGATTAAGCCTGTATTAAATACTCGGTTAATGAGATATCTTTATTTGGAGTCGAATATAGAGGAAATTTATCTCAACAAACTTGGTTAACCTCTACAAACTGGTGAGCCGCATTTAGAACACGCGCCTGTTTCTCTACAAAATCTGCTGCATATTCTCCAATCATAAAGAACTTCATATTGGAATTACTATTGCAATTATTAACAATACATTGACAGTCAGTTAATTCATCTATAACATTGTTGCTTTGGAATTATTACTTTATATTTGCCTATTTAAACTCAAAGTGACCTTTGTTTTCGGTGAGTCTCATATATATTTCTTGTTGTTATTTTCGACTTATTCATATCATATATTTCAATCCTCAGCTTATTATTATTGCTATTGTTATTATTTCTTCGTATCATGTCACTTGATAATTCACCAAGCCTTTCATCTAAGTCTATTTCCGTGGGTGCCATCTCTGTACCTTTACCTATCTTTAATCCCCGAAAGGCCGAACTGTGGTTTGCACGCTTAGAAAGCTTTTTTGTTGCAAACAGAATCACAAATCAGAACACAAAATTTAGTTATGCAAACTCATTGCTGCCAGACGATGTTATAGAACAAGTGTCTGACGTCATTTTTAAACCGGATCCAGACTCACCATACGATTGTCTAAAAAGAGAGGTCATTCGTGTTACATCTCTCACCGACCAGCAAACAATTGATCAACTTTTAGCTAATGTAGAGCTAGGTGACAGTACACCATCTCAATTAAAACGCCACATGACAAATTTATTGGGGAATCGTACAGTAGATAAACGTCTATTCTATCAATTGTGGCTCAGACGTCTACCACAAAACATCCAACAGATACTAGCAATCGGAGACGAGGATATCGATTTTGATAGGCTAGCAGATATAGCCGATAGAATTTACGAGCGAACTAGGACGCACTCCGTATCTCACATACAATCAAACTCATCTGACGAGATCGCCGAGTTGCGACGAACAGTCGAAGTCCTCGCTAATCAGATAGCTCAGCTCCAATTTTTGAATACCTCCCACAGCAAGCGGAAAGGAAGGTCTAGAAGCCGTAAACGTCGTAGTCCAAGCACCATTCGACATAACATTTGTTGGTACCATAAAACGTACGGTAAGCAAGCTAAAAAATGTACTCCTCCCTGTAATTTCGCAAGCACACAACAAAGAGACCATCATGAACGTCGGTTAATGACGACTGCAGTCGCTGAACACAACTCTCAAAGCAGTCGCTTGTTATATGTTACAGACAAAAGGACTGGAACACAGTTCTTAGTCGACACTGGGGCAGAGGTTAGTGTAGTACCACCCACTACATTGGAGAAAAACACACCTGACCCCAAACTAAAACTACAAGCCGCAAACAGATCTGAGATCAAGACGTACGGCAAAAGGCATTTACAATTAAATTTCGGTCCTAAATCCAAGTTTTCATGGAACTTCATCATAGCTGACGTCCTCATTCCTATAATCGGCATTGATTTTTTACAATCCCATAAAATACTCGTAGATGTAAGAAATCGGAAACTTGTCCTTGCTGACCATAGCAGCGAAATTAGAGGGATTATTTCTAACGAGACATCCATACATTTATTGATCAAACCTCATCGTGAGAATGACAAGTACGTTAGTTTACTTAATCAGTTTCCAGACTTATTACGACCGAATTTCAAACGGGACAAACTGACACATACCGTCGTACATCATATAAAGACAGAGGGTCCACCAGTGTTCGCACGTCCAAGACGCCTTGACCCCTCTCGTTTGGCTCTAGCAAAGAACGAATTCAACAAAATGATAGAGTTGGGTATCATACGCCCCTCCGATAGTCCGTGGGCATCACCGCTCCATTTGGTACCCAAGAAAAACTCTTCCGAAGTTAGACCGTGCGGTGACTATAGAGCTCTCAACAGCCGTACTATACCAGACAGATATCCACTTCCACATTTGCATGACTTCACTCATAGTCTATCTGATGTGACGATTTTTTCAAAAGTTGATCTCGTCCGCGCTTACCATCACATTCCAATTCACCCGGACGACGTTCCCAAAACAGCCATTACTACCCCATTTGGATTATACGAATTTGTTCGCATGCCTTTCGGATTAAGGAATGCTGCACAAAGTTTCCAGCGTTTTATCGACCAAGTAGTACGTGGCTTACCTTTCGTATATGCTTACATAGATGACCTTCTTATCGCAAGCAAAAATGAAAATGAACATCTAATTCATCTGAAAATGCTTTTTGAGAAGCTAAACGAGTATGGGTTAACAGTCAACCCTGACAAATGTGAGTTCGGAAAACAATCCCTTACCTTTTTAGGTCACGTAATTGATAGTCAAGGCATCAAACCAGTTCCTGAGGAAACACAAGCCATCAAAAATTATCCTTTACCTGATTCATTCAAGAAACTACGACGTTTCCTTGGGATGATCAACTTTTACAGACGTTTTATTCCGAAATGTGCAGACATAGCAAAACCGCTAACTGATTTATTAAGGGGACGAGCTAAATCATTGACAATGACACCGCAAGCAATTCAAGCATTTGAACAGTTAAAAAGCACATTAAGCACTGAGGCATTACTAGTACGTCGAAAGGTTGATGCACCTTTAGCAGTAATGACCGATGCCTCTAATGTAGCAGTAGGCGCTGTGCTTCAACAACATGTCGATCAACAATGGCAACCCCTTGCATTTTTCTCAAAAAAGCTTAACGCAACGCAAACAAAATATAGCACATTCGGTAGAGAACTGTTAGCTGTCTACCTAGCCATCAAGCACTTTCGGTATATGTTAGAAGGCAATTCTTTTACGATATATACGGATCATAAACCTCTAACTAAGTCCTTGATGCACAATCATGATAAATACAGTCCGCGCGAAATTCGTCAACTAGAATTCATTTCGCAATTTGCAGCTGATATACGATACATAAAAGGCAATGCAAATGAGGCAGCAGATGCACTGTCGAGATTAAGTATCAATACCTTCTCGATCCCTGATATAAACTATCAAGACATAGCAAATATTCAAAAGCTCACTGCTGTTAGCATCAACAGAGTAAAACCACCGTTTTTAAAGTATACTGAAAAAAACACAACCATAAAACGGTCTAAACCTGCATCAGAGCAAGCACCATACAGACTAACCGCAACAAACATTACTTCACTCCGAAGTACGCCAACAACAGAAACCACAACAAGATCAGGAAGAAGAGTACACTGGCCAGATAGGTATGTAGCAACCACCATATTTATCTAAACCAAGTCCTGAGATTGCTCTTATAACACAAAAATCCTTCTTTATTTTCATTACTATTTTTATTGGCCCCACGGATCTTCATTATGCTTACATTTTAACTTTATGAAATTCGTTGATGTTAAATATACATTTATACATACATGATACAAAGCGTTTCAACACACAAGCTGTTATGACAACTTAACGCTTACTCATCATCATATCAAATTGTACATTTATTTTAAAGACAATTTCGTTTTTTATCTCTTTGTCGAACATAGATGTTAATAAAAATTTTTTTTGTAAATAAAAACATCAATGTTCTGGATGGGAGCTTATGTAGCAAGCCCATTCCATTAATGTATTATTTGTCTACACAACTGTGTTAATTTCCATATGAGTATGATTGAGCGTGTGTCTGCACTTCTATCCCTATTCTATTCCCCATTGGTTGTGACACATAGATAATCAATAATTTATCTACACTTGATTGATACTCAAAGATATATATGGATCTTTTAACACAGACACACACACTTTGATTTTTGACTCACTCGGTGCTTGCTTGCTGTATGCTTGCGGACTTTACCAAGTTTTCACAATAAACTATCTCTATAACTGATTTTTGGGCTTTTTAATGATCTCGAGTAAATCGATAATTCTACTAGGAGATTAAGCCTGTATTAAATACTCGGTTAATGAGATATCTTTATTTGGAGTCGAATATAGAGGAAATTTATCTCAACAAACTTGGTTAACCTCTACAATGTATATCCTGGAGTTCTAGTGAGAAGCACTGGCTAGTGGAGTTCAACGGGGTCAGTTTTCAGATAGTAACTCACTGATGACAACTGTGGATGTGTCGCTCAATTTTGTGGATTAGTTGAAGATAGACATTAACACCGTTGTATGCCGGCTCAGTGGTCTAGTGGATAATTGCTCGCACGCGAAACCAGTAAGTCCTAGTTTCGAATCCCGCAAGGCGGGATCGTGGATGCGCGCCGTCCAGTGCTTCCAGGTTTTTCATGGTGGTCTAGCTTCAATTGACTCATGATCTCAACTGTTGAAATTATAGAATATATATAAATATTTCTTGTTACTGTGCGGATTATATGTATATATATCAAATGTTTAGCTATCAGTTTAAAATTCTTATTAGAGAATCCGGAACCATCAGCTTAAGAGCAATACACATATCCTACCTCTCAACAAAACGGTAATAAAAACAAAGATTTTTCTTCCATGTATATACTTTTCCCTATATGGTATGTATTAAATGTGGTCAAAGGAAATCAAATAAGTAGATTTAATCAATGGGTACTTACTTTATCATCTGACACTGGCTGACTACCAACATTCCCACCAGAAAATACTATGAGTTGATTATATTCAGTTAGTGAAACAGAAGAGTGTTGTGTGCGAGGATGATAGATGAATTGTTGAATATTAGTATGAATGCGATCTTGAGTTAAACTTGCAGTGATTTCGGCCTTTTCATAAATTGATGGGTTTTCTGGCGTTGATAGACAATGAATTTGTAGACGGAGTATTTGACTCAAAGGATCTGTTTTCGTTGCACCACCAAATATTAATAATTCCTAGAAAACATTCATTCAGATACATGAACGATAAGTATATATATATATATATATATATATATATATATATATATATATATATATACATATATATACATTGATCAAACAGTAATCTTGAGTTAGTGCAGATCTGTAACTCAGGTGGGTGATTTTGATGAAGTTTTAATCTAACAGCTGGATGGTTTAGTCGTGGAGCTTTCATCCTTCATCTGAACGACATCAGCACAAACTTCAGGTAGAAGTGAAGTGTTCGAATTTCTCCACACATGGCTCACAGCATGTCCTGTATACCTCGATGTTGATTGGTTCTTGTTGACCTTAAATCTGTCGTTGTTTACTTCTTCGTTTTGGTTGTATTTCTCATTGGTTTGATTTTTGGTCCTATGTTTGTCCGTAATTTTCCCGATTATTTGATAAATTGGAACGATTTCCATGTGCTTGTTGATTACTGAGTGTCAAGCTTCTAAAAGATTTCCGGTGTTTTTAGAATTGCCTCTATCCAAGATTTCCACATTTTTCCGGTCGAATGCGTGTCTGAAGTCATCCATGTGCATCGATATAAGTGAGGATATGTCTTAGCGTTTGACCGCTAATTGATGTTCATGCAGGCGAAGATGAGGATGACGTCTGCTTTGTCCGATGTAGTGTTTTTCGCAGTTGGCACGATTTATTTCGTAGATGATGTTCGGTTTTTCTCCTTTTGTCATTTCATCCTTTGGTTTACATAGGATTGATTGCAGCGATTGTTGGAACCTTTCGGAATAGGTGTAGCACATAAAGCTCCACGACTAAACCATCCAGCTCATAGAACAAAACCCCATCAAAGAGAAGCTGATTAACTACACATCAAAGTGGGAATAAGAAAAACAGTTTGTAATCAGGTACTAAGATGGAAGGCGATTGTGGTACAGTTCTTAATCAACAAGCAACTATAAAAATAGGAAGTTATTGGTAACCTAATATGCCAACCTTTAGCTCAACACACGTGCTTGATTGCTGGGTCACATTTAAACTGTTTGCTTGCGAGTAAAACTTTAGATTTTTTTGGTTGACTACATCCATACTTATAATCAGATATTTATTAGGTGAGAATCGGGCTGATTGAATATTTACATTTTATTACACTCATTAATATTCATCATAAACTTTTGTACCGGTTAATGTAACGTTACTGTAGACAAACTCCGAACTGAGTGTTCTATCTTTTGAATCGCTTGAATGGTATATAATTGGTTTGACTGTTACGGTTGATGTGCGTCACGAGTTCTAGGTCACCAAACGTAAAATTTTGAACTCATACTTCATTTTTTATTTGCTTATAGTTTTTGAGCCTAGACAAATTCACGACTTTTTATATACATCTTTACTTGTTCATCAAATCGTTTCTTCTGAATGTTTATCTAGACTGGTTACAGGAATACTGCCTAAAATTTAGATTCAAATGAGAAGGCAAAATCTACAACTTAGAAAAATATATAACTCCAATCAGTGGTAAGATGCTTTAGGTAATACATCTCAATATCAGTCACATTGATGTCGACGAAATCGCCAATTATTTTTCTTTAGCTTATCACTTCACAATACCTTCACACATACTTCGATTCTTTCTCGAACCAATTTTCGGATTATAGTTGCCACCACATTATTTCGATTTCCTTGCCATTCATCATATTAGTTTCATTTCGCCGTGTTCTATGTTCATTAAAACCAACCGACAGTTGTAGTTGTTAAACCTTCGTTCGAATTAAGTAGGCACGTTTCATATCAACTATATGACTCTCAGATAACAATCAAGCATTTTTATAATTATTCTTTGTTCATGTGACTTTTGAGTTCAGTTACATACCTTCATGAAATAACAGTAATACCTCACTGTCTGAATTATTGAAAATCGAAGTGTGAAATAAAAACCATGTGCATTATTGAACGGTAGCGCAATGGTTAACATGTACAACTTCTAATGACTGAACGGCAGATTGCAACCCGGTTTATTCAAATAAGGTTTGGATAATCGGGTAATAATACTAGCCATCACACGAAATGTGTGACTCGAAGCTAATTTACTTTTGCTTACTTAAACCTGTTACCCCTCGTGGAGAAGTATAAACCGCCCACCAGTATTCTCCATTCAACTCTGTCATGGGCAGTCCTTTCCAGTTTCTATTCATTATTTTCATGTCTGCTTTCAGTTCTTGACACAGTGTAGTCTTTGACTTTCCTCTTTTTCGTTTTCCTTCGAGATTCCAAGTTAAGGCTTCCCTCGTAATACAACTTGATTATTTCTTCAACGTGTGTCGTATCCACTTCCAACATCTTTTCCTAAATTACTCTTCAGTTGGAAGTTGGTTTGTTCTCTCCCACAGTAGGCTGTTGTTGATGATATCCAACCAACGAACATTGAGTATCGTGTGTAGACAATTGTTTATAAATACCTATAATATTTTGGTGATGGTGGTAGTTCTCCGTGTTTCGGCTCCATACAGTAGAACAGTCTTGACGTTCGTATTGAAATTTCTGACTTTGATATTGGCTTGCAGACAGTTGTTTTGAGTTCCATGTATTCTGCAACTGTAGGAATGCTATCTTTGCCTTAACGTCTGCATCAGGTCCTCCTTGTTCATCGATGATGCTGACCCGGTACATGAACGTTTCCATTTTATTCACATTATCCCAATCACGTATGATTGGTTTGGTGTTCTCCGTGTTGAATTTGAGAGTCTTGCTTTTTCTCTTGTGTATGTTAAGGCCTACTGATGCAGAGGCTGCTGCTACATTGGTTGTCTTGACGTGCATTTGTTGGCATGTATGTGATAGAAGGGCAAGGTCATCCGAGAAGTTCAAATCGTCTGGTTTTATCCGAGCTGTTCATCGTATTTCGTGCTTCCCGTCAGATATGGAGGTCTTCATAATCCAGCCAATCACCGGAAGAAAAAGGAAGCGGGGACTAAGCAGCATTATCTGTCTTCACTTGGAATGCATCTGTCAGATATCCTCTATGCACGACTCTGCACTGTAGTCCGTCTCATGAAATCCGGATGATGTTGAAGGTCTTCTCAGGTACACTATAGTGTCGAAGAAGGTTCCATAAGGTTCTCCTATCCACACTGTCAAATGTTTTCTCATAATCGAGGAAGTCGATGCAGTGACAAATTCCATACAATCGGTTGTTCAACGATGATCCGTAGTACCCGGACATATTCTCAGTTACTGATATACATTGATTGGGTCATGACAACCAATTATCATTCCTAGCCCAAACACAAACGTTATGATCAGTTTGTGAGTCACAGCGCCTACGAAATTTCGAATAAGTTCATATGTTAGGAGGATAAATGGTGACTTAAGTTGTTTAATTAAGCATATTATATAATCATAGTGAATAGTGTGCGGTGTCTAAGTAAGGCTACTACCTACATCGACGTAGGATGCTGTCAAGTTAATGACTAGGTGAGTCGGAGAAATCACTAGTTATAGAAGAAAGTGTGGTAGTTTTAAGCAAAACTGCATAAAAGCAATAGATTTATTGTCAAATTTATACCTACATGTTTCTTAATATTATTTTCCTCATATTTTTTAACTTTTACCTTTAGTGATGATAACAAATATGACCACTAGAACTATTTAACTTATAGGTTTTAGTTTGCGTAGTTGATTTTGTCTATCATTTTAGGTCATGAGAACATGAGATGTTCGGACAGATTGGCAGTTCGGAATATAACCATTTTAATAGATGATTAATAATACACCAATTTTTGCAACCAAATGCATTTGTTTGAATTTGTGTACAGCATCTTAATAGGTTATCAAAATTAGGAAGCTCAAATTATCAATCTAACGTCAAATAAAATGATTGTTCTGAAAACATACCACTTTATAACCAAAGTGATTTGTGAGTAAATATGAAATGTGAATGAATTGCAGTACTTCAACTCACCTGATTGTTTAAAATTGCACTGCTATGTTCATATCTTCCCAAACCTGGAAAATCAATTGTCTGTTCCAAATCAACAGCGTACCACATAAATGATATTATATCCAGAATGTAGGCTTCATTAAATACTCCGGAAGCATCTGCACCCCCGATCATCATAATCAATGGTCGGTTGCCAGTGTTTCCACATTTCATTCGTACAGCATGAGTTGAATGACCAACACGGGCAGGCGGTGACTTTCCTTCTAAGGCGTAAGACACGTTGCACCTATGGTAGATACATTCACCAGAAAATTAATGATGTAGTGTAAAAAAAAGGCATACACATTTCTTGATTATTAGCTCGAATTCGTATATTTTTTCTCATTTTCATAGATTAGTACTTATTATTGTGTGGGAGTAATAGTGAAGAATGTTTTACAATTATTTGACCTTGGATGACAATGGAACCCGCAGATCCTTGATAAAGAAAACCTAGTTTAGATGACACCAGCGGTGCTGATAGTAATTAGGAAGGTTTATTCTGGCTGTTGTTATTTATAAATTTTATCCTGAAAAACTTGGTTTTAAAAACGATAACAAGCACATGGTCTCCTAACGTATCGACAGCCTGTTGTAAAATAGAGTTATGGGATTGAAAAACAACACCCTAGTTAATTATAACAGTTAAACTTACTAGATAGTTTAAGATTTAAAAGAATGTGGATTTTACAGTTCCACACTTTTAAGCATGACCAATTAAAATTGGTTGCCTCTTACTCGTGAAGTTGAGCGTATTGACTGCTTTACTTATCTCGGGAGTCTCATTAGTTCTCATGGGCTTTGTGTCTGACGAAATTTTGGCACCGACAAAAAAACTTGATCAGCCTCAGAGAATTTGTGTTACTTGAGACGTAGACGTAATATCCGTCTGACAACAGAAGAAAGTTTGCTACGCGGTAGTTTGCTTTGTTCTACTTTATGGATATGAAACATGGAGGATATTCATAGCCCCCAAATGCCCTGGTACGGCCGAGAGTGGGGAGAGTCCGCTCTCCCTCTCGAAACGCTGTCACATGGCCATGGGTATATAGCCTCTGCTAGGGAAGTCCTACTCACTGCCTTCTCGTGGCGGGGGTGTTGTTTACAAAAATGAGAGGACGAAAAGCGAATGTCCAGCGCTTTAACAGGATCCCAAACCAATGGTGCACATGGGCTCCAGTATCCTGAAGGAACAAATGGCCTATGAACCAATCGTTAGTCACCGGCTACCATGGGGCCGCATCTCCTTACGATGCTCCACTGCCTTGTGGGTCAGACGTTCAGGTCGAAGTCTCGGGGTGTGGCCCCCTAAGAAAACCACCTGCTTCGGTTTGGGCACCCGGGCAGTATCACAGCCCTCACACAAATCAATTGAGATTCGTGTGGCGCATATGTACTTGGTGCTTCCCTGTACCTATACTTATGTGTTAAAATAAATAATAATAAATAAGGATATTCATAGGTTACCAGTATTCAACCATAGGTATCTTTGAATCATTGCTCGTTTAAGAATAAAGTACTAGGTGGCGATGGAAAATCGATTGGAGATGTAGCCATAATCAACTGACTAACTGATAAGTAATAATCATGTTTAAGAGACCTGAAACGATAATAACTTACATTCTCGTCCTAATCATATCAAAAACTTGATATCAATTTTGTCACAACAGATTTAGCCAGTGGTGCTTTTGGAAAATTTTATTTGTGAACAAGTAACATGACTTGGGTACAGAAGGTTGAGAGGAAACCAAAATTAGTCTGACTGAAATTCTATATTAATAACAATTGAACCGTTAATATAAACATTTTGGTTAAAGGGGGACTGAATTTGGGAATGATGAAGACAACGTGGGGTATCCCCAAGGTCTACTAAGGGTTCTTCTCAGGACCAATATGGACTAATAAGCGTTGGTTGGGTAGCTACTGTCACAGTCACATAGTAATGCACCAAACTGTGAACAGTTTGCTGGAAAAATAAGGGAATTTCGGGTATTTATATAGATACTATGGAAAGTTATTCTTTCGAAATGTCAAAACTATGTCGCTAAACAATTGAGCGTATACTTTCCGAACAAAAATAACTTATTGCCGAATGGATCTTGTTGATTACTGGTGAGTGACTGGCTGGCGTTTTAGGCGTCGCCGACTTAGTCTTCTTCACTAGGACAGCTACTGAGAAGCTTATGACGGAACCTTCGGACCAAAATATCGAATACTGCATGCAAAAATGGAACGAAACACCACGAATAAATTTATTCTGCAGCCTAACTCACCAGGAGCCACATATATTCACTTTTTCAAGTAATTTATGCATATTATAAAATTATACAGAGCTTCGAGCGCTGTGGAGAGTTCTTCCGTAGCGAAACGTTTTTCTTAACGATAACCCCATTGTTACCGCTGCTGGAGTAAATGGAAAGGGACGATGAATTTCCAAAAGTCAGAAAACTGTGATTTAAGGGCTTTTTGATGTTCAGACGGTATATTTCAGGTGCTGGGTCTTCATAATATCTGTCAACGATTTCACTGCTTTCTTCTAGTCTTTTCACCATTCACATTAGAAACCAACATGTCGTAGCGGTTTGCATTTATCCTGAGATTATATTGAGTGTTGGAGGAGAGTACAGTGTTTACTGAGTCAATATGGCTGTAGAGAAAGACAAGATGAACAACCGTTCAGTTAGTATACAAAACGAAATTAATTTGATTGATGAAAAACGTTGAAATAAGTCAGCGATAACAGAGGCTAAATTAAGAAGATTCGGTAAATGCCACTAGAAGTCCAAGCATGATATTTTGAATCCGTAACATACACTCAACTTCAAATATCCGCGCGGGTGTCTAAGTTACGCTGTCTGAACCAAGATTTAAAAAAAACTCCTTTGGTTCTAAAAAAATAAGTAAATCAGTAAACTGAAGTTTTTGGTCAATTTATTAGGCTTTTATTCAGTGTTCTTGATCATGATTATTTCGGGCGAACACCGTAGCACTAGTTGTAGATCAACACCCATCACTGAAATTATTCTTCTTGTTTCTAGTGGATACTGCTAGCTGAAGAGTCCAGGTCAGGACCTGTGATCAGATCTCTACATTTTTAATGTGGCACACTCTTTCTCCTCTGGACAGTCAGTGTAGAAGTAATAAATACCCAAAACAAATTGTTCTGTAAGTCTATAAATTCGACGCTGACCTCATTGGTTTTACTGAGAAAATCCTACATAATGATTCTTGATCACGCATCCGCACCATATCACCATCTAATACGCTATGTTACGCACACCTAGCAACAACTAGTGTTTCTAGATCATGCACTTTCGATATGCCGACTACGGTCCAAATATGTCTACAAAATTCCTCTATTCACGACTCCCAATTAGCCTTTGCTTGGAATGAGGATGGTACAGGTATTCATAGTTTGGTAACACTTAAACCAGTAAATACTTCTGTAATGAATCGTGCCCACACAATGAAATCAAAATTCAGAACCGAGGAAGCTTGAAGACACATTTGATAGGCTATCAATAAGTTGAGACGCAGCCGATCTGAATTGGCTAGCGGTTGTAGGAAGAGTTGAGCACGGCGTTCCCTTTCGTGATCCGGTGCGGATGCCTGACCGAGCGTCTTCAGTTAGGTGAATTCATCTAAACTAATGTAGTCGGTATCCAATGTCGAAGACTTACAGAGCTATTGATTTTGGGGATTTATCTACCGCTACAGGAGTTCTTCGACTGTGAAGGTAGAATCAACTTCTCACTCACTTTATATCTATTGATTAAGCACATTCCTTTAGTTTTCTGTTAATTTCTATAACATGCTCCCCAGTTATTGAGGTGAAAATTCAATTGAAGCTCGGTTCTTCAACCTCATTGAGGACTTGGGACTACACGAAAATGTGAAGTTGGCTACTCGTTGAAGGAACAGTCAGACACCGTCGCGCTTAGACTGTGTTTTTACAAATGAGGAATTTCTAGTCGACAACCTCTCAGTCCTGGCTCCCCTGGGGAAAAGCGATCACGCCGTTATAGCCTTCATTTTCGTCAGCAAAACTGAGCTAAGATATCCCAACAACAACAGGCGCTGTAATTTCAAACGGTTGAATGCGTCAGCTCTACAGGACTATCTACGACAGATGCATTGAGATGTTCACCCTAAACTTGATGTGGATGGTCATTGAAACTTCCTATTACACACGCTCTTATGTGCTACAAAGCAGTCAGTCCCTCAAACGGTCCCCAAAAGCCACATGCAATCTACAATCATCAAAAATCGCACACTTCGTTTGCTAAGCCGTAAAAGGCACTGTTGGGCAGAATACAAACGAACCAACAACAATGGCGAGTACAGGCAATACAAACATATAAGGAATATATATACGAAGGCTATAAGAGAAGGCAGGCTCCAGTACCAGATAAAGCTTATGGATAAATTTATATCCAATCCGAAAAGCTTATTCCGTTACGCAGCCTCTCTTCGTCAAGCCAACACTGGAGTTTCTCAACTGCTGGGTCCTAACGGCCCGATCGATAATGACGGTGACGCCGCTAACCTCCTGGCTGAGCAATACCCCCGGACATTTCAACCGTCCCACATCAACTATACAAATGACGGCTCTATCTGAAGTTACACAGGACTTTCCGTAGTGAAACTGAGCGCTAACTTGGTGTTTCGTAAACTACAACACCTAAGAACAGACACTTCTCCTGGTCCAGACATGGTCCACTCTGCTATACTTAGGGAAGCAGCTTCAATCCTGGCAACACCGCTTAGCGTGATGTTCTCACACTTGCTAAGTCAAGGCAAACTACCGGATATTTGGAAGCTGGCTCATATCACACCAATTTTCAAAGGAGGTCGACGCGGCGAAACTTCAAGTTACCGACCAATAGCTCTTCTCTCTATACCTTCTAAAATCATGGAGTCCCTGATATACGATGGTATACATGACAATCTACTGTCCTTAAATTTCTTCTCACCCCAACAGCATAGTTTCAGGAAGGGTTGTTCCTTTATGACCAACATGCTGACTGCGGTGGACAGATGGACAAGCATCGTTGATCGCAAGGGGTAGGTGGACATCATTTACCTTGATTTCTTTAAAGCTTTTAAAAGGGTTAACCACGTCTGTCTTATTAGCAAGCTCAAACAATTGGGTATCAAACATCCTTTAATTGACTGGCTCAGTTGATATCTGACAAATCGACATTTTAAGGTCAGGGTAAACTTTAATTACTCAAAGGCTATGGAATGTCCTAGTGGGGTCCCTCAAGGCTCAGTACTAGGACCTTTCCTCTTCCTGATTTATATAAATGATCTTCCTCAACAGGTAACGTCAGACATATTGCTCTTTGCCGACGACGTGAAACTTTGGAGAGAGATACGCAACCAAGAGGATATACAGGCACTTCAGAAGGATCTGACTCGACTTCAAAGTTGGACAGACGATAACGGACTTAACTTTAACACTTCAAAGTGTAAAGTAGTCCATCTGCGACACGTCGCAGATTACAGTTACAACTTAGGAAACTCCTCTCTAGTAGTATCCCGAGTCGAAAAAGATTTAGGAGTTCTGGTGCCCTACGACTTAAAGTCTTACGCCAACTGTGACAAAAATGCCTTTAGAGCACACCTGGCACTGGTAACATTGAAGCGCATTTTTGGTCAGTTTGACGGGAGAACTTTCCACATAATCTTCAATAGTTTCATTCGTCCCCATTTAGAGTACGGGAACATAGTATTCCCTCCTACATTCCAAAAGGATAAGGACACTCTGGAGCGTATCGAACGGCGAGCCACGAAATCAGTTCGGGGACTCAAATTTAAACCTTACGATGAGCGCCTCCAATCACTCGACCTTTACCCATTAGAGTATAGGCGTCTTAGAGGTGACCTTCTAATGGCTTACAGTATCCTTAACACACCTGGACATCCTCTTAGACACCTACTTAAGCTTAGTCCCAACACTAACCTAAGGAGTAACACCCAGAAATTAGAGATACAACATAGTAGAACGGACTGCAGACACAACTTCTACTCCTTAAGAGTTGTCAAATGCTGAAATTCGCTGCCAGCTGAGCTAGTCCGAGCAACTTCTCAAGAGTCCTTCAAGAGGCGACTCGATCTATTCTTAAGGAATAAGGATAGTATCCTACTATGATTTACCAATTCATTTTCTTTCTCTTTTATCGTTAATATACCTAGGTTCTTGCCTGGAGGTATTGGTGATCCCCTGCTACTAGACACGGAAGCCTGTTAAGCGAAAGCTTCTTCTATTCCGTCCACAACCATTTGAACCATTTGAACCATTTCAGGATGGAAATCTTACGAACCCAGGATATATTAACTTCTTGATAAATAAATTGTTATGTTCCATCTTGTTATCTCATAATTTATAAATGTCATCCTAATTATTATGCCTGTATTTTTACCTGTGACGATAATATTTGTGGATCCACTATACAGTCTCGCATTGACTCTATAATTCTTACTCTTTTCGCCCTACATAACAATTAACATGCTCTGTATTCACTAGTTTTGTCTGATTGCCGATGTTCTCAGTCAATACTTTCTTATCGCTTTTTTGCTTGGAGACTTCATGTGTGAAATAAACACACCCTTAGTGCGACTAGTACCCTATTTTAGCACTAACATTATCAGCGGGTGGAATGTGTAAGAAGTAAAAAATATATTTTTTGGTGTCATGCGTGTTCTTCATTTAATTGACGTATACAAAGAGTACTAAGCTGGAACTATTTTTCTTTATGTTTAAGGAGATTTTAGTCAACTTTTCTTTGTCGAAGGAGTATACTCTTCGATGTCCCACATGTAAAGTACTTAGTATAAAGTTCGGAGAGTCAAATATGCACAAAAACTTCTCAAATAATACACAGAAACTTCATTCACAACTGCTAAGTTTTTTGGTCTCTAGATAACATCAAAAGGAGAAAATAAATAAGTCCTAGACATTCTTTGAAGATGTAATCGATGGGAGACAGGGATGTATCGCAGAGTAATAACAAGGCTTGATATAAATACCGATTAACAACAGTAGTATTTCACCCATAAAATAGCCGTTGAAAAACAATGATATTCATTCATCTCGCATATCTAATATTTGTTATGGTATTTGTTCTCGCGGATTTATTAGACTGTGTGCTACTGTAAAGGAGAATAATGTCAGATGACTCGGCATTAGAAGAGCAGCTTGCCGAAATGGTAGCCTTTGAATTAGGCCTGGATACCTTAAATTTTGATTCCAAGTCTTGTCCCACATCATTGGGAAGTCCTTCACCAGTCGACTTTTATATACAATATTTGGGGTTATATTTGATGAAATCTGATTTGATCAATGCAAGGTTTTTATATAAAAGAATGCCGCTCAAAATTAAGGAGAATGCTTCGATCAAGTGCTTGTGGGATCTTGGTCGGTTCCTTGTGCGAAATGATGTGAAGTCGTTTTTCTCTCGCGCTTCACAAGTTCTGGCAGATTTAAAACAGCCTGATATTCTCCTTCATATGGTCAAACAAATTCGTGATAGACAGCTCAGCTCGGTTACAGACCTTTTTTCTCGCGCGTACTCACACATATGTGTTGATTTCTTGTGTGATTACTTAAGTATTTCCTCCCAAGATGTGTGCGAACTGTTCTTAGAAAAAGGCTGGAAAGTCTGTCCAGACAGCCGTTTTATGTTTCACTCCAGTGAACTTGTGTCAGACAACGATAAGGCATTATGTTCTGAGAATGAAACAACGAATAATGACCTTATGAGCAGGTTATCTGAATTGATGTGTTTTATGGAAAATCATTAATAATACAATCTTAAAAC